CATGTACATAGTCCCTTTATATAAAGGGAAAGGGGACAAAAGAGATTGTAAAAATTATAGAGGAATAAGTTTACCGAGTATACCAGGGAAAAGTATACGGTAGGGTTATAATTGAAAGAATTAGAGGTAAGACAGAATGTAGGATTGCGGATGAGCAGGGAGGCTTCAGAGTGGGTAGGGGGATGTGTAGACCAAGTGTTTACATTGAAGCATATATGTGAACAGTATTTAGATAAAGGTAGGGAAGTTTTTATTGCATTTATGGATTTAGAAAAGGCATATGACAGAGTGGATAGAGGAGCAATGTGTGTGGCAGATGTTGCAAGTATATGGAATAGGTGCTAAGTTACTAAATGCTGTTAAGTTTTTATGAGGATAGTGAGGCTCAGGTTAGGGTGTGTAGAAGAGAGGGAGAATACTTCCCGGTAAAAGTAGGTCTTGAACAGGGATGTGTAATGTTACCATGGTTGTTTAATATATTTATAGATGGGGTTGTAAAAGAAGTAAATGCTAGGGTGTTCGGGAGAGGGGTGGGATTAAATTATGGGGAATCAAATTCAAAATGGGAATTGACAGTTACTTTTTGCTGATGATACTGTGCTTATGGGAGATTCTAAAGAAAAATTGCAAAGGTTAGTGGATGAGTTTGGGAATGTGTGTAAAGGTAGAAAGTTGAAAGTGAACATAGAAAAGAGTAAGGTGACAGGGTATCAAATGATTTAGATAAAGAAAAATGGATATCAAATTGGGGAGGAGGAGTATGGAAGAAGTGAATGTTTTCAGATACTTGGGAGTTGACGTGTCAGTGGATGGATTTATGAAGGATAGGTTAATCATAGAATTGATGAGGAAAAAAAGGTGAGTGGTTGCGTTGAGGTATATGTGGAGTCAAAAAACGTTATCTATGGAGGCAAAGAAGGGAATGTATGAAAGTATAGTAGTACCAACACTCTTATATGGATGTGAAGCTTGGGTGGTAAATGCAGCAGTGAGGAGACGGTTGGAGGCAGTGGAGATGTCCTGTCTAAGGGCAATGTGTGGTGTAAATATTATGCAGAAAATTCGGAGTGTGGAAATTAGAAGGTGTGGAGTTAATAAAAGCATTAGTCAGAGGCAGAAGAGGGGTTGTTGAGGTGGTTTGGTCATTTAGAGAGATTGGATCAAAGTAGAATGACATGAAAAGCATATAAATCTATAGGGGAAGGAAGGAGGGGTAGGGGTTGTCCTCGAAAGGGTTGGAGAGAGGGGGTAAAGGAGGTTTTGTGGGCGAGGGGCTTGGACTTCCAGCAAGCGTGTTAGATAGGAGTGAATGGAGATGAATGATACTTGGGACCTGACGATCTGTTGGAGTGTGAGCAGGGTAATATTTAGTGAAGGGATTCAGGGAAACCGGTTATTTTCATATAGTCGGACTTGAGTCCTGGAAATGGTAAGTACAATGCCTGCACTCTAAAGGAGGGGTTTCGGATATTGGCAGTTTGGAGGGATATGTTGTGCATCTTTATACGTATATGCTTCTAAACTGTTGTATTCTGAGTACCTCTGCAAAAACAGTGATAATGTGTGTGAGTGGTGAAAGTGTTGAATGATGATGAAAGTATTTTCTTTTTGGGGATTTTCTTTCTTTTTTGGGTCACCCTGCCTCGGTGGGAGACGGCTGACTTGTTAAAAAAAAAATAAATGCTAAACCCACAAGGATCATACAGCGCTACCCAGGTCAGACTAGCGAAGGTGAAGAGTATGCCAGATAGAACTTACCACCTAAAGGCCCTGCTATCAAGGAGTCCTTGGATCAATGGTTCCTTCACTGCAAGGGATCATCCCTTGAGTGCTTCTCCAGATTGGACATTCTTCTTGTGACCTATAATTGTGTAAGGTGAAAATAGTGCTAACATTTGCCATCTTGCTGTGTTGGTTTAAGCTTCCTCACTGCAAGTACTGGTGCTATGTAATCTGAGGGAGACATTATGATAATCAAGGGGGAAGCGCTAAACCTGTACGATTATACAGCACCTATGGGGGAGATGTGGAAGGTATTCAAGAGCCCCTCACCAGCATCAAGAAACCTCCCTTGTGGAGAACTGACTGGTTAGTGTTATAATAAGATAATTTTGTATGTCCAAAGCAATCTGTGAAGTCTTGTTACATGACCAAGTGAGGGATGAACAGATCCTTGGTAAGAACTACAAGAGAGGTGTCAGTGTACAGTTTGGGGTCCTGTTAATGGTGGGGAGATAGTTTATCAATTCGGTCAGCATCATTACCTCTTGACAATGCACAACCTACTATTTAGAGGACTTGACCAATATAAGATAAGTTCTCATGCAGGTATATGGCCATTCAGACACTTTGGGATTCCATTTTCAATGAAAAAAAAAAAAAAAAAAAAAAAAAAATGCCCACCTTCATTAGTGGAAGGTTCCCAGGTTGTGTGATGTATGACCCATAGGGGTTATACACCACATGGGGAATGGGAGGCTATCAGGTTTAATCCAAGGAAGGTAAGAACAGGCATACTCTAAGGATCAAGCACCCCACAACAGCATCAAAGCACCTCTTGAGGAGCAAGAACATAATCCAGGTTTGTGCTGTCATGTTGTTGCTTGTATGCTATGGCTTATTGGGATGTGGTTTCAAGCCACACTGCTCTTTGGCAAACAAACAGATGACCTGTAAATTGTTGATAATATGAACAGGAGTGGTCATACAACGAACTGTTGTAATGATGGGTGAAACCACTTTCGTCTTCAAGGTAATGCAGGTGTAAGTGGCACTCGAGAGGGAAGGTAGAATGCCAGTACATGTATGTACCTGGTTTTAAGTGATTGCCCAAGAGTAATGCTGGGTTCTCAGCAGGGTCCCTGACTGTGCAAGAGCCAGCAAAGGGTGTCATATTATTATAATCAAAGAAAGCGCTAAACCGACAAGGGTCATACAGCACTGCAGGGCAGAAAATGGTGCTGAGGTTATAAACAGCTAGATGAAGAAGGGATCAGAGGTAAGGGCAGAAAAGGGCTGGAAGGGACACTAAGGGCTGTGCGTCAATGTTCGTACTGTAAAGCAGTTGTTGACAAAAAGTAAAAAAATGATTGTAAGTCAAAGGCATGCTAAAATCACTGTACCACTGCAAGAATTGAGAGTAGCATACTTATGAACTAAGATTGGAATGTTATCTTTGGAAGTTATATGGGAAATATCATGAGATTGTTTTGAATTCTGAGCAGTAACGATGCACATACCGCTTTGAAGAGAGTGAAAGGAAATATTTTGGCCAACGTGTCATAAAAAAGCTTTACCAATACTATGATGAGAAAGATAATCAGTTGGAGGTGTGAACTGTAGGGAAAAGAATTTAGCCCAATGCATACCTATAAACATGGTGCGCAAAGGAAGTGGGTGTCGTGTAGGTTGTTTTTGGGTAGACACTGAAGGACCACCATCAGTAAGTGGTCTGGAACATCAGTAAGTGGTCTGGAATGTTTAGGAGTAGTACCATGGGTGATTCGACCTGAGGTAGGTGGGTGATCCAAAAACCGTAGCACTGTATTCAGGGAAGCCGGACGCATTGTTAGAGGTGTGGAAGAGGCAGGAGCATTAAGAGAAATGGGTGGCACCTCAGCACCTGGAGCAGGTGACAAGACGTCACCAGCAGAAGGTACAGGGGCATTAGGTATATCTCAATAGTGGTTAAATAATGAGGCAGGGTCGGAACAGGGTGCAGTATCACTAAGGAGCCTGGGGGAAAGCAGGTTCACGGATTTGGGACTCCATGGTTAGGTCACTTCTTTCTTTTGTAGGAAAAAAAATGGGGGGGGGGGGGGGAGGATAGCTCCTAGGAGGCCAAAAAAAAGGGGGGGGGGCGTAAATCCCCCTTCCCTCTCAAGAGGACCCGAGCACCACAAGCAGTGTAGATACAACATGGAACCTGTGCCACACCCTACCCTTCATGCCGGTAAACCAGCAATCCAGGATAGCAACCTCATATCCGCCGAGACACCTCGGTGGACAAAAGAGAGGGCAGCTGGACACCTGCCACAAAGGATACCTCCTTTGGCCACCACCCCCCGGAATCCGAAAGGTAGCCTCCAGAGATACACCTGTTACCCGAAAGACACCCAAAACCACCCCCTGGGAGACCGGAGAGGGATCGGGACGTCCCCAGGTGATCCAGATTCCACGGCAAACTACACCACCGCCAAGATCCTCAACGGACTGGGATGGGCCCCGGTACCCTTCCTAGGAACTAGAGTGCCTGTGGGAAGAATCCCAGAGGCTGAAAATAGGATGGGAATAGGGAGGGGAGGGGGGAAAGGGAAAAGGGGAGGATGGGACAGGGAAGGGGGGTAATTAGGCTCGGTCTGAGGAAGGGGGCCAAAAGGTCTAATTCCTGAGACCAAGAGCCTCTTCACCGTGCCAAAGAGCCCCCCATGAAGAGGAAAGGGTGCCAGAGCCACTTACAAATGGGAAAGTAAAAAAAAAAAAAAAATATTTAATAAGAAAAAATGTGTTCAGGGAGGAGGGGGGTGGGGGGTAAAAATAATGGTTCAAGAATAAATTTCATAAAAACATGTACTTAACCTGCATCATGGTTACCTCTGCTATGACTGCTGATGGTCCCTGGAAAATACCTCTTACCTTAACTAGTATACAACACCAGGATGAGGCCTCCAGAATTGACTAAGCAAGTCATAGCAAAAGAGCCAGTTTAGACAAGAGGACTAACTGTGAAGTATCTTTCTACTAATAATGGCAGAGCCAAATTTCACAGAAGGGAAAAATATCACCCCCTTTCACTCTAAGGAGGACAAAATAAGAGGAAGAGTCTGGGCATGTTTAGATTAGATCTGAAAGGGGAAAAAAAAAAAAAGTCAATTACTCAATGAAGAGCCTCTTCAATGCACCAAGGAACCCAACTGGAAGGCGTAATGCATTCCTGAACTATCAACAGGTATATGTTATAAATTTCTTAAAGTTATGAGAAAGGTGCTAAAAACAAAGCGTTTCTGTCTTTATAAGCAAGGTTTATTCTGTTGTCTTCTTGGCAACCTTGTGAGTCCTACGACGAGCTTTCCTGAAAGGTTGAGCACGTTGGGAACGGAAGATGGCAGAGGCTCGTCGAAGAGAAGCCTGTAGAGATTTTTTAGCATTATTTGCATGAATAGAAAAATTGTTCAGAAACTGTTAACATTCAACTAAAATGCAAATATTAACCCTATGAGGGTTTCGGCCGTACTAGTACGGCTTACGACCCAGGGTTTTTTGACGTACTAGTACGCCTAAATTCTAGCACCCTCAAATCTAGTGGGAGAAAGCTGGTAGGCCTACATATGAAAGAATGGGTCTATGTGGTCAGTGTGAACAGTATAAAAAAATCCTGCAGCACACAAAAAAAACGACCGTTTTTTGGAATAAAACAGCGAATTTGCACTGTATTTTCGTATGGTATTTATTGTTATACAGTATTCTAGTTTTCTTGGTCTCATTTTATAGAATGGAAGACATATTACAGAAATTGAGATGATTTTGACTGGTTTTACAATGAAAAGTACCTTGAAATTGAGCTCAAAGTAGCAGAAATGTTCGATTTTTACCAAAGTTCAAAAGTAAACAAATCATGCCAAGCATCCAATACACGTCAACTGGCGAGTCTAATATTCTTTCGCAAGTGCGCCCATATTATTTATACCATTTTTTACACTAATGCAGTAGTCTGCATAACAGTAAATCTTCAATTTTTTGAGAATAAAAATTCAAAGTAGAAAGCAAAAGAATATAAGAGGGGCCTTGAGACGTGTCATTTTAGTGCCAGGAATGTCTTTCTTGCTTATTCTGGACCCTATTCGGAAATTGGCATCTTTTGAAATTTGTGTGAAATTGGCAAAATTACTAAATTCTGACCACTGTACTGGATAGTTGAAATTGATAAATGGGTGGTTTCTTGCACTCATTCGATAGAAAAAATGGAGTTCTAGCGAAATATTGTTCTTTGTCGACTAGTACAGTGGAATTGGCCAAAAATAGGGCTCAAAGTGGGCAAAATCGCCGATGTGTAAACATCGCCGAGACTGCTAACTTCGCGGGAGCATAATTCCGTAAGTTTTCCATCAAATTTCAAACTTTTGGTGTCATTATGATCGGGAAAATATTCTCTATCTTTTCATAAGATTCTTTTTTTTTTTAAATTTGGCCGACCCTGAGAACGAGTCTCGGAGAGGGCCTGTCGACCCTCAAAGGGTTAATCATTCAGTGATAAATGTATGCATGAAAGTATGACTCCATCTGCTTTCTTTTTTATTGTATTTGTCTACTTACTTCACACAAGAATTTGCTGAGAAATGAAGCCTATCAGATGGTGTGCCTGTAAAAAATGCAATCAAGTACAGTGGTACCTTGAGATATGAGCAGCTCATAACTCGAACAATTATGTAAGTATATCTTTGTAAGTGCTTTTTAAGTGTATTTTTGGGGGTCTGAAACGGATTAACTGAATTTTCATTATTCCTTATGGGAACAAATTCGTTCGTTATCGGCACTCGAACAGCTTTCTGGAACGAATTAAGTTCGTAACTCAAGGTACCACTGTATTAGCAAATGATGGAAGCTTTAGCAAGTCAGAACTGCACTGCAGATTATGCTAGAATTGTAAATGACAAAACTGCATACAACTGAAAGCATTTTAATTGATAAACTACAGCAAATTGTCTTGTTTAGTAAGCATCTTCAGTGAGTAATAAAATGGTACACTTCACAAACCCACAATTTAGAGGAAATTTTTGATGATGCTTCAGTTCATCTTATACCAAGTCATGACTGCACTGGTACAGTGGACCCTCGAACATTGTCCAAATCAGATTTCGGCCGAAATTCTATCCTGGATTTCAGCCAGCAACTCAGAAATCGGTCATATTTGATGCGTCCACCCCCCATGCGTGAGAGTCAGTCTGGCTGTCTCTCTCGGTGAGCGAGCAACATTCCGCGCATTCATCCAAACATTTCTTTGTAATCCATTGTTTTTGTGGTTGTTTATTGAATGCGACTGAGAAATAAGCCACCATGGGCCCAAAGAAAGTTCCTAGTGCCAGCCCTTTGGTAAAGGACTGAGAGGGCAGAATGTGCTTTCTTCAGTGATTCTACAATACGATACTAAACCAGCAGGAGTCGATAAAGGCTATAGTGTCAACCAGTGATAAAGTGTATCATTAATTGTGTAGCAAGTAAGTTAAACAATTAGGCGATAGAAAAAGGATGACAAGAAACTAACTCCTCCAATGTTGTTGGAGGTATATGAGGGCTATTGACAACATATGCCGCCCTGCGCATCTTCCACCATCCTAAACCTCTGCCAGCATCTCAATAACCACTATTACTTTACATTCTCCACAATAACCATTACATTATGTTTTTATACAACATTTCTTATTTATAAATTATGTACATTGTTTCAGTGTGACTAGTAGTGTGTTTAGTGGTGGTGGCTGCTGTCGCAGCCACCACTATACAGCTTATGCTGTCAGTGGTCCTGATAAACCCAACACCACCACCACCACCACTAGTCACATACTTTTTTTTTTTTTTTTTTAACAAGTCGGCCATCTCCCACTGAGGCAGGGTGACCCAAAAAGAAAGAAAATCCCCAAAAAGAAAATACTTTCATCATCATTCAACACTTTCACCTCACTCACACATAATCACTGTTTTTGCAGAGGTGCTCAGAACACAACAATTTAGAAGCATATACCTGGAGAGAGTTTACCTGGAGAGAGTTCCGGGGGTCAACGCCCCCGCGGCCCAGTCTGTGACCAGGCCTCCTGGTGGATCAGAGCCTGATCAACCAGGCTGTTGCTGCTGGCTGCACGCAAACCAACGTATGAGCCACAGCCCGGCTGATCCGGAACTGACTTTAGGTGCTTGTCCAGTGCCAGCTTGAAGACTGCCAGGGGTCTGTTGGTAATCCTCCTTATGTGTGCTGAGAGGCAGTTGAACAGTCTCGGGGCCCCTGACACTTATTGTATGGTCTCTTAACGTGCTAGTGACACCCCTGCTTTTCATTGGGGGATGGTGCATCGTCTGCCAAGTCTTTTGCTTTCGTAGTGAGTGATTTTCGTGTGCAAGTTCGGTACTAGTCCCTCTAGGATTTTCCAGGTGTATATAATCATGTATCTCTCCCTCCTGCGTTCCAGGGAATACAGGTTTAGGAACCTCAAGCGCTCCCAATAATTGAGGTGTTTTATCTCCGTTATGCGCGCCGTGAAAGTTCTCTGTACATTTTCTAGGTCGGCAATTTCACCTGCCTTGAAAGGTGCTGTTAGTGTGCAGCAATATTCCAGCCTAGATAGAACAAGTGACCTGAAGAGTGTCATCATGGGCTTGGCCTCCCTAGTTTTGAAGGTTCTCATTATCCATCCTGTCATTTTTCTAGCAGATGCGATTGATACAATGTTATGGTCCTTGAAGGTGAGATCCTCCGACATGATCACTCCCAGGTCTTTGACGTTGGTGTTTCGCTCTATTTTGTGGCCAGAATTTGTTTTGTACTCTGATGAAGATTTAATTTCCTGATACGTATAAAGATACACAACATATCCCTCCAAACTGCTAATATCCCGAAACCCCTCCTTTAGAGCACAGGCATTGTACTTCCCATTTCCAGGACTCGAGTCCGGCTATTTTTAATAGTCACATACGTAATGGCATATTTTATTCATTCTAGAGTATATATCATGTTTCTATGTTATTAATATTGTTTATTATGTCATATCAAATGAATTTTGATAGATATACAAGCTGTAGAGTTGATATTAGTGCCAACAAGAGTCTTCAATAAAGGTAAAAGTGATATTAAATGTTCATTTATACATTTCATTAGTCATTTTATTTGCTTCTCATTGTTATATGTATGTAAAACTATAGTTAACCTTAAAGCTGTCCAAATGTAGATCTACGTTTGCACTGCTAACGCTCTGAACGTATATCTACATTTTATTTTTCCTTCCTTCATAATTGGCGCAACAGGCCCAAGTCACCTAGACATGAGAGAATGGGTCTGCGCACCCAGTGTGCAGTGTGAAAAAAATCGGGGACACTGGGGTACCATGTGGTAGTACCACACAGCTTCAACTCCATCTTGGGTCAACATCAGGGCAAACCCCCGTGATTCACTCATGCCTAATCGTGTTAACAGTTCACTATTCTTGCAAAGTGATAGAGAACATGAATTTAGTGATTTTGACACCGATATAGCCACTAGTGATCATGGAATTAGTGAAACTATTGATGATAATCCAGATAACCCTAAGCCCATCACCTCTTGGGTGGCCAGTGTGGCCACAACAGACCCTCAGCCCAGCACCTCTGGGGTTGCTAGTGTTACTACCCAAAGGCAACTCTGCAAGAGGAAATTATCATTTTCCATGCGTTACGGTGCTGATGATAGTGAAAGTGATATAAGTGACAATGATGAAATTGATTTTATGCCCATAGAGAATTTGTCGAGTGAAAGTAATATGCATTATTCCCCAGCAAAATTTACTTTTAGGCTTTGTCGGCATATGCAGTCGGTGGCAAGGGTCGTGGCAGGTCACGATCCAAAACCCCAGCCACTGATAGTGATAGTGATCATGAAGGGAAATATGCTGGGATGGAGGAAGGAGGGGGTTGGTGGCACAGTGCCTGGACCTCATGGCGCAGTGGGTGGGCAGACAAAGGACCACCCAGTACCCTCTCAATGTGCTGCCTCTATTCCCATCCCCCCTCCTGCTCCCCCACGCCCCATGCCACAGGTTCACCCTGCACCACGTGACCGCGAATGGAACTGGACCGAAAGTACACCATTCGTGCCATATCCCTTCAATTTTGATGCCAGTGGAAGTGGCATCAGGCCTGAATGTCCCATCACAAATGAGTCTACAGAGTTAGACTATTTCCAACTTTTCTTTGATGAGCCTATAATGAACCTGTTACCCAGACCAACATGTACTACGGTACGGTATACAATGGACCACAGCAGCAGCTGACGGTGGTGCAGCAGTAGCACCAGCTGACCGTGGTACAGCAGCAGCTGACGGTGGTGCAGCAGCAGTTGACGATGGTGCAGCAACAGCTGACCATGGTACGATAGTATTTCTCGCCCTTTTTACCACAGGGTTGGCACTAGAAGCTTTCTTTGAGCCCATGGTGGCTTATTTAGCAGTTACAAGCACTAAAAAAATAATAATAATATAGGTATGTAGTCCGCCTGGGCTACATAGCTACGTGATATTTAATATGGCCCAGAGCCATATTATTACCATCAACAAACCATGTTCACCGTACCTTTAGATGCCATCCTAAACAAGGGGAGAAGAAGTAATGAATAACTCATGCCAAGTATTGTAAACAAAAGCGTTACATATTAACCCTTTGGGGGTTTCGGCCGTACTAGTACGGCTTACGCACCAGGGTTTTTGACGTACTAGTACACCTAAATTCTAGCGCCCTCAAATCTAGTGAGAGAAAGCTGGTAGGCCTATATATGAAAGAATGGGTCTATGTGGTCACTGTGCGCAGTATAAAAAAAATCCTGCAGCACACAGTGCGTAATGAGAAAAAAAAAACTTTGACCGTGTTTTTGGATTAAAACAGCGATTTTGCACTGTATTTTCGTATGGTATTTATTGTTGTATTCTAGTTTTCCTGGTCTCATTTTATAGAATGGAAGACATATTACAGAAAGTGAGATGATTTTGACTGGTTTTACACTGAAAAGTACCTTGAAATTGAGCTCAAAGTAGCAGAAATGTTCGATTTTTACCAAAGTTCAAAAGTAAACAAATCATGCCAAGCGTCCAACACACGTCAACTGGCAAGTCTAATATTCTTTCACAAGTGCGCTGATATTATTTATACCAATTCTACACTAATGCAGTAGTCTGCATAACAGTAAATCTTCTATTTTTTGTAAGAATAAAAGTGGAAAGCCAAAGAAATATAAGAGGGGCCTAGAGAGGTGACTAATGAACAGAGAACTTGTTATTTTAGTGCCAGGAATGTCTTTCTTGTTCATTCTGGACTCTATTCGGAAATTGGCATCTTTTGAAATTTGTGTGAAATTGGCAAAATTGCTAAATTCTGACCACTTTATTGGATAGCAGAAATCGGTAAATGGGTGGTTTCTTGTACTCATTCGATAGAAAAAATGGAGTTCTAGTGAAATAGTTATGATTTTTGTCGACTAGTACAGTGGAATTGGCTGAAAATAGGGCTCAAAGTGGGCAAAATCGCCGATGCGTAAACATCGTTGAGACCGCTAACTTCACGAGAGCATAATTCCATAAGTTTTCCATCAAATTTCATACTTTTGGTGTCATTATGATTGGGAAAAGATTCTCTATCTTTTCATTAGAAAAAAAAATCATTATTTTTTTTTTAATTTTGGCGACCCTGAGAACAAGTCTCCGAGAGGGCCTGGCGATCCCAAAGGGTTAAGGGGAGTAATGTAATGTTTTCCCTCCGCCCGGCTACCACACCTCCATAGTATATAAATAAAATATTTATATACCAATTAATGTGTTTCTTATATAATTTTGAAGAAAATATAGATAGATTAATGAAAATGTCTATATTAATGTAAAACAAGACATTTAATGTGCCCAAGAGTGATTATTACAGTAGACTGTCGTTTAACATGGTTTTGTCTTGCACATTTTGGTTATAGCACTATCGAAGAATTGTCTCATATTTGTGTTTAACATTTCGTAAAATTAGTTTAACACAGTTGCAGGAGGGGAAAAAATTTTGAGTGCGCAGTCACCCGCTGGGCAGGATGGTCTGTGCATTACACCACTGAGTCAACAATGATACTCGGGAAGTTCGCCGTGTTTATTTATATACATATTTTCTTATTTTCATTGCCATTTGTTAAATCTGCCAAGCAATCATGGCACCCAGTAAGCATAAAAGTGTTCCCACAAGCGACAAGAAAAAAGGCTTAAGCATTCAAGTCTAGGAATTACGAAGAAAATCAAGATATTAGATAAGCTTAAGAGTGGCTCACGTGTGGCGGATACAGTGAGGGCCTATGGCCTTAATGAAGCGTCAGTTCATACAATTAAAAAGAATGAGGTGAATAACACACTGACTTGACTGAATGATTTATTTGACTGAATAACTTACTGACTTGACTGACTTACTGAAAAAGAGCACATGTTTAACACATAGCACGTAATGTTTTCTGTAATGGTCGCGGTCACTTTTTTTTTTTTTCCCCTCCCCGCCCTCCAACCTTCAATACCTCTCTATAATGTCAGATTTTTATTAATTTAGGAGTCTTTATCATGTTTCCAAATTATTTATGTTATACCTAATATTATTCTGGAATAAATATGACAAGCAGATAACTTATTGATAGTAATAGTAGTATTGTACAATATTTTATAGTGCCGTGAGCTCACACCACCACACGCCATGGTGGTCCAAGAGCTACTGAGAGACTGCTCGTGCCTTCTTCCTCTCATAGCCCCACCTACCCTTCAATACCTCTCTATATGTCAGTTTTTATTAATTTGTGCATCATTATCATGCTTCTACGTTTTTTGTGTTATACCTAATGTTATTCTCGAATAAATATGATATGTAGATGTTTATTGATAGTAGCAGTGCTTTGAAACGGGGTCTAGACCAGCTCATGATGCCTTCCCATCAGCTGTATAATGTACTGCAGGGTTATAGAGCCCAGAGTTCCATTACAGAATTTATGCACACTCCAATACAACCATCAACTTCAGTACCAGAACTTCAACCAGTAGGGTCACACCATCCATATCCACTCTTCACAATCATCCACAAACACCATTACCCACAATTTAAGATAAGAAATATTCTTATTTCTATTGCATTTGTAGTCTCAAGTAGTAATATATCACAACAATACACTACAATTACATATTCACTTTTATTTTGTAAGATCTGGAGGTCTAAAAAAAAGTTGTTTGGCTTTTTGGGGCTCCCAGGAATGTAACCCTATTTTTCCCACAAGTTTTTCAGTTTGTTTAACACGGTGTTTTCAGGAAAGTAACTGTGTTAAACAACGGTCTACTGTATTACATAATAGAGGCTCACGGAGAATGTAAACAAACTGGGTGGCACCCGCAGCATAATTTGAAATCGCCGTATTAGCAAAATGCCATAGAGCGGGGCCCTACTGTATTTATGTAATTAACAAGAGCCTAAATGGAAAAAGGAAAACGAAAACTGTTTGGACCCTAGCTGTTGTCACCCTTACATACTATTATTCTCACCCAATTTACCTGAATCAGGGTTCAGTGCCATATTAAAACCTTCAATAGAGAGCATTATTACAGCTTTCAAGTCCTTACCATTTTTAGATCCTTCCTGTAGTGGTTGTAGCGGATGAATCTACGAATGGAATTGAGTGCTCGGCGAGGCCCAGCTTTAATGGTGGTCTTTACCATATTTTTGGCTGGCTTGTTCTGTAAAAGAATGTGAAACTATATAACAAAAAATGATTTCTAGATAATATAAATATCCTGTTTGAAAACTAATATGTTCTTAACCCTTAAACGGTCCAAACAGATCGACGTTCAAATTCGTAGTGCTACAAAAGTAGATCTACTTTTTTTTACACATTTTCAAATATAACAAAAAAAATGTAGATAAAAGTTTTTTAAATGTTTTCAAATGTAAAACAAAAAAGAAGATCTAAATTTTTTTACTACTTTCAGATTTTGAAAAAAGGATATATACTTTGGCCCTTTTAAAGGGGTTAAGAGATGTTACATGCGACATTGCTTGACATTTATGGTTTTAACAATACCAACAAGATAAAAGAATAGCCCCTTCATGAGGGACTAATTTTTCTCTTTTTATATGTTTTCTTCCCAATTTTTTTTAAACAAGTGGGGCCCCCCCGCAGGGGACCCAAAAAAAAGAAAAACCCCAAAAAAGAAAATATTTTCATCACATCATTAAACATTTTCACCTCACTCCAAAATCACTTTTTTGCAGAGGTGTCAAAATAAACTTTTTAAAAGCAAACGTTAGTTTACGCATTTGGGCCCCCGCTTTTCGTATTTCCCCGGGGAATCGAAAAATTGCCAATCTGGGGTATTTTCTTTAAAAAACATGGACCGCTTTCATGGTTGACTGTGAGTCGTAGTTCGCCGGACGCGTACGCACGGCGTAAGCCAGGGCACAGCAGTTGGCATTTTTTTACCAGAAAGCAAAGGTCCCCTCCGTGCCCACAAAAATATTTCAAAATATTCCATTTATTTTAGGCTTGAAAGTACTAAAAAAGCTCCCCGGGCCCAAAAGAAGCTCCTAGTCCCAAACCCGGGGGGTAAAAAAGGTGAGAAATTGTTTAAAGAATATGGAAAGTGGTACAAGTGGGGCCCGAACTGCCCAGGATGTATAAAAAACCCCTACACAACCTTATGTTCCATAGGGGCCCAAGAAAAATAAAAAGGATGCTGTTGTTGCAAAGGGAGTAACTATGCTGACAAAATGAGATCACCAGTACGGGAAGAGGTTGGAAGTTTTAAGGGTGTGGAAAAATCTTCGTTTATTTGTAAAAGGTGGCATTCATGAAGTTTTGGTAAAAAAATTGCCTGCAAATGTGGTGAAGTGAGTAAATTTTAAAGGCCCAGCAAAGGGTGGTTTGAGAGTTTTAAAGAACCGTACGGGAAAACACGTGTGGTAAGGCATGGTGGGGGCTGCAGTTCGGCCCACAAGGGGCTAAAAAAAATATGTGCTGAATTCCAGAGTCATAGAGGCGAAGGCTGAAACCTGAAAAAGTGTTCATTTTTCGAAACAGGCCTCTTTGGGAGAAAATCCCAAAGAGGCCCTTTCATTAAAAAGGGAAAAAAGGCAATGCCAGGACACAAGCCTTGAAAGACAGGCGACGCTAATGTTCGTGCTAATGCATGGGGATTTCAAAGTGAAGCCATTACAGGCCCCATTCTAAAAATCCAGTGTGTTCGGAAAAAAAATGTTTATGAAGAGTAATTGTGTGTGTTTTTGGTCTTGTGGTGGTGGGGGGGTTTTGTTTGAGTGGTTAAATGAGTTTTTGGGCCCCTATGTAAAGGAGTATCTCCTGGAAAAAAGAAATTGGATCTCAAGTGTGCTATAATGGACAAGCACCTGTTACCCTCCAAACTTGGAGCCCAAATTTTTGAGGATTTGGGTTTCATCACAGAAGTTCTTCCCCCCAAATACCATCCCCCTCCAACCCTGGACAGCAGGTTATTGCAAATTTTAAAAAAAACTACAAAAAAGAATGTTTCACGGGTGCTTGACTGTGCCCACAGACACTACTTGACCCAAAGGGGAAAATTTTGGAGAAAAACCCTTCAGCATCCTCCACTGCAAACCCCTTATAGGTATGGCTTGGGAGGGAGTGACTACCGGGACTTTGAACTCTCCCTGGGAAAATTGTGGCCAGATTGTGTAAACAAGAGGGTTTTAAAGGGTTTTTGGGCCTGACCCTAATGACCATTTTTTGGAAAAATCAATTGGGCAGGAGAGTTCCATGGGGTTGGATGGAGTTTGGGAGGATGTGGAAAAATTGGGGGAAGACCAAAATGAAGGCCACCATGGGAAGCCAAGAGCTTCGCAGGAAGAGAACACATCGCAGTCAGAATTTGTGCAGGGAGGAAGAAGAGAGATGGAAAAAGGCCTTTTTCCCAAAAAATTAAAGAGTTTTTTATATGTGGGTAAGAGGGAAAGCTTTATGAGAAAACATCACCAAACAGGTTGTTGCAACCCGGTTGGCAACAGTACGTGACAAAGTCTTGGGCCATTTAGGGAAGTGTTAAAGAGACCCCAGAAACAAGCTCTCCTCCACGTTTTTTTGGAGCGGACTGCAGTGACTTCAAGGTGGCCTAGTGGCATTAAGAAACAGAGAAGAGAAGCAACCCCAAAAAACAAAGGAACCTGAGGTGGAGGAAGGGGGTTTTCCCCTTTCCCAAATTTAAAAACCCCCCAATCCACTTCCCCCTCTGTCCCCATACATAAAAAGAACCCAATAAAAGGTAATGTTATGCTGTTAATTTTCATTCATCATTTCCCTTGTTTGTTTAGACTCATTTTTTTTCTGTTAAAAATTTTTTTGTTTAATACTTCTGGGTGTCGGGAAAGGTTTTTATTGTATTTACATTTTTTTAGGGGGAAAAATTGATTCGTAAATCATAATTTCGTTTATAGTAATGGCTCCAGGAACAGATTAATTACAAACAATGGGGGACCACTGTAAAACATATCCCTCCAAACTGCAATACCCCAACCCCCTCCTTTAAAGACAGGTAGTACTACCCTTTCCCAGGACTCAAGTCTGGCTATGTAAAATAACGGTTTTCCCCAACCCCTTCAAAAATTACCCGCTCACCCCAACAGATCCAGGCCCCCAAATCCTTTTGTCTCCATTCACTAAAAAAAACGCTCAAGTACGCTTTTGTGCAAGTTTCCCCTTTTATGTCCTTAAATTTTAAACTGTAAAGCAATGGATGGCAAATTTACAATAAAGAAAACCCAGATGTTTACTGTGTAATTTTTTCTCCTTGGCCTTATGTGACAGCTCTCTTTTGATTTTTATATGTACTAGAAAATTCAATTTTTTCATGTCTTTTTTTTGGAATCCTGGCTACTTTCTTTTTTCCCTCTTTTACTTCAAATTTACCAGCAATTTTAATTACTGTTTTTAATCATATTTTTTTCACTGAAACAGAACACTTGTTTTAATTTTTTTAATCAGGATGGGAGAGGGGCAGTAAAAAGCAGCAAGCGGGAACCTGACACACAATAAGGAAAAAAAATTTGATTAATGAATTGTTTAAAATTCATGTATACTGGGAGGGTTCCCCGGGGTATGCCCCCACGCCAGTCGTACTTTTTTTTTTTAAGCAACATGACATTACTCTTTCCTTTTAAAAAAAACTGGCTGCTTCTCATTAATAGAAAATACATTATTTGAATGTTTGTTCAATAATTTTTTTTCAATCATCCCTAATTTTAAATTTTTTCTTTGCAAAAATGATGGCATTAATTGAGTTTTACTAAAAGGAAAAATTTTTCACTCCCAAAGTGGTGGCATGAAAAGTTTATATTAAGTGGTGATGAGGCCCTCCAGTTAAAATCACCCAAAATTGGGGATAATCACCCCGGGATTTTGATACTAAAAAGTAAAACGCGTTTGATCTTATTCTGTGTGAAAAACCCATGTGGGTCATAGTAAAAGAAGTGATCAGGTTGTTACCCCCTAATAGCGCCTGGCCCAAGAAGGGGGGAGAGAAAAGGGAAAGGGAAAGGGAGAGATTCTAGTCAATAATGGTAGGCGAGAAAGGTTTTACAATCCTGGAAAAGGTTTTCTGATATAACTAAAAATAACCATACATTATTTTTTTTTTTAGACACTGGCCCGATTCCCCCGGGGCAGGGGGCCCGAAAAAGAAAAACTTTCACCATCACTCACTCCATCACTGTCTTCCCAAAAGGGGTGCTTTACACTACATTTTTAAACTGCAACATTAACACCCCCTTCAGATGAGGCACTGTATTTCCCCATCCCCAGGACTAAGTCCGGCCTGCCGGTTTCCCTGAATCCCTTAAAAAAATGTTACTTTGCTGCACCCCAACGGGCGTCAAGTTTTAAAAAACCCTTTTTGTTCCATTCATCCATCAAACACGCTCACGCATGCCCGCTGGAACCCAAGCCCCTCCACAAAAAAAACCCTTACCCCCTCCCTCCAACCGTCCTAGGCCCCCCCTACCCCCCCTTCCTTCCATACGTGATACACTTTTAAATTTATTCTGTTTCGCTCAATTTCCTCTAATCCCCGAACCACCTCAAAAACCCCTTCCTACCCCTTGGGACAACATTTTCGGCAACCCCGCCCTCCTCCTAACTTCCAAATACGAATTCTCTGCATTTATTAAAACCACACTTGCCCAGAATGAATCCCCACTGCCTCCAGCCTTTCCTCCTGAAAATTCATCCCCCCATGCTTCCACCCATATAAAGGCGTTGGTAAAATAACTCTCATAATTCCCTCTTTGCCCCAAAGGACAAAGTTCTTTGTCTCCACAGACCCCAAAGTGAACCCCGCTCACCCTTTTCCCTCTTCAATTCTAGACCCTCATCTTTCAAGACCCATCCGCTGACACGTCCACTCCAAATTCTGAAACATTCCCCTTCTCCATACTCTCCCCTCCAAAAAAATACCCAAATCTTTCCACCAAATCTTTTTGTTACCTCTAACCTTCCTTTTCCCTGTATTCTTTTAATTTTCTTCTTTTACTCCCCTTCCCAAATTCACCCCAACCTCTGCAACTTCTTTCAAAATCCCCAAGGCACAGTGTCATCGCAAAGAGCAACGTGAGAACTTCCACTTTATGTGCCCATTTTAACTCACGCCTTCCCAAAGACCCTGCATTTTTTCTTTAAAACCCCATTATAAATACTTTAAACAACCCAGTGACA